TTCCTTCCCCTCTTTTGACAAATAATGTGTGATCAGTTTGACACTACTTATATCCTCTTTGCTGAACAACTACAAGAAACATGCTGAACTAGGCTCTCGGTGATTGTTTTAGGCCATATAATGATTTTTTTAACCTGCACACTTTCTGTTCATTATCTTAAGCTCGGAAACCAGGGCGTTGTACCATGTACACTTCCTCTTTAAGGTCACCATTTAGAAAGGCATTCTTGACATATAGTTGATGAAGGTCCCAATCAAGATTAGAAGCTAAAGAGAAAAGGACTCTAATGGAGTTCATCTTAGCAACGTGTGCAAAAGTTTCTGCATAATCCACTTCATACACTTGTGTAAACCCTTTTTCCACTAAACAAGCTTTATACTGCTCCACTGTGCCATCGGCCCTATGTTTTACTGTAAAAACCCATTTACATCCAACTGGTTCCTTCCCCTTGGGAAGAACTACCAATTCCCATGTGCCATTTTTATACAAAGCATTAATTTCTTCCTTCATAGCATCTGTCCATTCAGGCACCAACAGAGCTTCTGCCACATTCTTAGGAATGGGAACATTGTCAATGGAAGAAAGAAAGGCCCGAAAGGAAGGTGAAATGTTCTCATAGGAAACAAAATGGGAATTGGGATGTTTAGTGCTGCAAGACCTAACACCCTTCCTGTGAGTAATAGGAAGGTCAAGGTCATCAGCAATAGAGGTATCAATAGCAATAGGGTTAGGAACGCCAATGGGAACCAAGGTACTTAGTACACAAAAGGGAGGAGGATCAGGAAGAGGATGGAGCTGAACTGGTTTTTTCTCATTCCTACACTCCCCCTGAGGAGAAATAGGGAAGAAAGGCTCACTCTTAAAGAAAGAAACATCCAATAGAAACATAATACTTCTGAGAGACAAGATCAAAGCACCGGTATCCCTTTTGAGTGGTGGAGTACCCCAAGAAGATGCAAGGAATAGTATGAGGATCTAATTTTCCATGGGTGGGTGACAGATTTTGAAGAAAACAACGACAACTAAACATATGAGGAATAGAAAGAAGACTTAGGAAAAAGAAGCTGATGTAGGGCTTTGCACTCCAACCAGCGAGAGGGCATACGATTAATGAAATAAGTAGCACAAAGGACAACCTCAAGCCAAAAGCGTTTTGGGACATTCATATGAATTAGTAACCCCCAGGCCACTTCAAGAAGGTGTCGGTTCTTTCTTTCAGCAACACCATTTTGTTGTAGTGTTTGGGCACATGAGCTACGGTGAAGTGATCCACGCGAAACAAAGAGCTCCGTGAGATCATTATGAAAATATTCTTTGGCATCATTGGATTTAAGAACTTGGATTTCAGTTTGAAATTGGGTGAAGATCATTAAGTAGAAATCAGTGTTTTAAAGGGTGCACCTGAGGCACGCCTAGGCGCAGAGGTGAGGCACTTTCCAGGTTGGGCGCCTCACCAAGGCTAAGGTGCACAAACCTTGAACAGGCGTGCGCCTCAGGCCAGACGACAGGTGGCCCAAGCGAGTGCCTGGATGATGTTTACTCGATTCAACACAAAACAAGATTCGGAATTATACTAAAAAAAAAACCACAAAATAGGAAACTTAGGAAAAAAGGAAGCTGAATCGACAGGGTCTTTGCTAAAACAACCGAAAGAAAAAAAAAAGAAATTTTGGAGGAAAGACTTCCTTCATCCAAAAGTTAGCACTCCAGAGGACAAACCAGAGGAAGCTGAAGCTCATTCAAGCTCAAGTTCGTCCAAGGCACAAAGCTATAGTATCAGCCTATTAGTTATGTAATGTATTTTTTTTTGTTCTTCTTCTTCCTACGACAGGGGCTCCGCCCTATTTTTCTTCTTCTTCAGTTCTTCGTACAAAACATGCATAAAAACAAGGGCTCTACCCCTTCAGTTCTTCTTCTTCAGTTCTTCGTACAAAACATGCATAAAAACAAGGGCTCTACCCCTTCAGTTCTTCTTCTTCTTCTTTATTTTTTATTTTTCAAATAACTGTGCGCCTTGCCTCAAAAAGGCGTGCGCCTCACCTTACGCCTTGTGCCTTGCCTGCGCCTTTCATTTTAAAACATTGGTGGAAATCTTGGATAATTTTTGGTACTTCATCCCTAGTTCGCATGGGATGCACCCATTTGTATCTAGAGTAATCATCAATAAAGGTAATAAAATACTTGTAACCACTCTCAGATGGTAAAGCAACAAGGCCCAAAACATCAAAATGAGCAATATGGAAAGGAAATTCAGATTTATTATTCTTGGAAGAAAAATGAGTTCTACAATGCTTACTCAATTGACAAGTTTGACATGTAAACTCTAACATTGACACTGACTTAAACATCTGGAAACACCATTTTTAAGGACTCAAAAGATAAATGACCAAGACGACTGTGCCATAAATAGACTTTGCTCTTACTAGACAGACTCTTAGACTCTGTGACTGCAAGACCAGCTTTATTCTCCAACATGTAGAGCCCATCCACCATACGTCCTCTACCAATTGTCTTCCCCAAGGCCAAATCCTAGATCACACAATAAGAAGGGAAAAAGGTCAATGAACAGTTTAAATAATTAGTTATACTACTAAAAGAGAACAAATTAATAGGGAATTTTGGAACATGTAAAACATTAGATAGGGTGAGGCCAAAGGGAAGAGAAATGGTTCCTTGACCAGCTATGGTAGGGTATGAACCATCAGCTAGTCTCACCTTGTCTCTTCTAGAGAGGAGGTGATAGGTCAGAAAGTAAGTGGACTTATCAGTCATATGTTTTAACACTCCAGAATCAATTATCCAAGGAGAGTTAGGTAATGAGACTATACATGGAAAGCTGTGGCAGAATTACCTAATGTAGACACAAATGAAGTTGAGAGAGGAGGTGCATCCATTTGACGGATTGCCCTACCATAGAGTTCTAAATGGTCACGAAAGGAATTAATAATATCCTCCCTAGGGTTAGAACCAGAGGTGTGTGTCTGAGTCATAGTAGTAGTAGGGGGATGGTTCTCCTAAGTAGCCATGTTTGCTATAGTGAGCTTTCTTGGACCTTGCAGTCCTGACTTCTTATTCAGATCTGAACCTTGCTTCTTACTCAATTCCTCAGCCCACTTTGGCTTCCCATGAAGTTCCCGACATGTATCACAGGTGTGTCGGGATTTTTGGCAAAGGGTGCACCATAGTTTGTCTTTGTCATCCACTCTTTTTTGAAAGTCCCCCTTCTTAAAGAGATTTCCCCCATCTGTAGCAACATTCCCTTTCATTGCCAATACAACTGCATCCCCCCTAGAACTATTCATCAAATTTCTTCTACTTTCTTCTGACTGTACTAATGCATATACCTCTTGGACAGATGGAAGATCCTTGCTGCCTAGGATTTGGATTCTAATGGATTCATACACAGGGTTCAAGCCATGGAGAAATGCATATACTTGCTGTTGGGTGACAAGGGACTTGTACACTTTTGCATCTTCATCACACTTCCAATCCACACTCTGGTAGTGATCTAACTCCTTCTAGATGGAGGTCAAGTCTGAATGGTACACAGAAAGACTCCTCTCCCCTGTTTACAAGTGGATGATTCAGCTTGTAATTGATAGATTCTTGCATAGTGACGCAGTTCAGAATAGGTTGACTTTGCCTGTTCCCAAACCTCATAACCTGTTTCAGCCCACAGAAAGTTCCTTCTCACCTAAGGTTGCATAGACACTAAGGGCCATGGCATAACCATGCTGTTTTCCTGGTTCCATCTGTCATACTCAACACTCCCAAAATTAGGTTCTTTAATTCTCCCATTTATATATCCTATCTTTCCCCTTGCAGTAATGTATAACCTGATCCTTTTCGACCATTCTAAATAATTTAAGCCATCCAGGGGTATGACAGCCATAGGGAAGGATAAATCCACACCCCCACTCATTCCATTCTGCATTGAGGAAACACCAGACGTGGCAGAATCTTCACCACTCATGATAGCAGCTTCAGGTCACACTCAAAGTAGGCACAAAAAAACCTTAAAGTAGTGCAGTCTAACGCCCCAAAAAAAATTCTTTGCACCAGGAAATAAATAAATTGCTGTCACGACACTAATGGGTCATCACTGTCCTACAATAAATCATCTCTTCAATCACCAAAGAAATAAATCAATTGCTGTTACGGCACTAACAGGTCATCACTAGCCTACAATAAATCAGAGGGCTGCTGTCGCAGCACATACAGGTCATCTCCTGACCTACAAACCCATCATAAGGCTGCTGTCGCAGCATATAAAAGTCATCACTGACCTACAGTACATCACGGGGATCAACCGATCCCACAAAAAAGGTAAAAAAGAGGTGCTGATCACCTCACATCAAACAAGTGAACCTACTACAGGTTCTGTCCTGGTACACGACCAGAAAAAAAAGAAAAAAGAGGAAGGGAGAGAAGGTACTTCAGTCCGATGCTGTATTCTGGATCTTCAGTAAAGCAAACAGTAGCTGGCGAAGAGAGAAGACAGAAAAAAGGCTTGCTCAATCTCTCCTTTCAGATCTGATAGTCCCGCTCTGATACCATATTATCCAGAAGAGAAGAAGAAAGGAAGAGGGAAGAGAGAAGAGAGAGGAGAGAAAAGAGACCGAGAGCCCAAAAGTCTGGATGGTGGTGCCAGCTTTTTTGTATTTATACTAGGGCGACATAAAACAAAATAAAAAGAGGGAGAAAGTACAATAGTACCCCTGCAGTACTAAACTTAAAATATTAAMAGACTCTTAACAGATTGTAAATATAATCTTAAATATCCGTGTATTCCTACTAAATTTTGTGCTCCACATGCTCTCTTGGTTCGAAATGTTAAAATTTTAAATTACTGCTATCAAAAATCAAGTGGCAGATATCTGTTAATGATAAAATAGAATCAAGTGGCTGACACGTGGCTAAAATGCATAACTAAGGGTGCTAGATCATCACAAAGAAATAGAAGAAAATGAGAAGACTGCCCAGTGATATAAGAGTATACCAGTACACTGCCAGGTCCAAGATAATTATCATATTCCTGAATCATTTCGTTAACATTTGAGCGCCAACCAAGCATAAGTATGCACTCCTTTGGTCCTAGAGTCCAATCTGATGCCTGCATACCAATAGCAAAACCCATATTCTTGTTGTATCAACAAGTCATTCGAAGCACCTTTCATAAAATCAATTATTCCTAATTAAAATCATACCTTTGAACCTGGTTTTGGAGGACGCCTCACAATATTCTCAAGCCGCGCCTTTTTCAATTCCAAGGCATGTTCATTAGATCCACCATTGCTTTCTATAGCCCTTAGACTTTGTAAAGTGTGACTTCCTTCTTTATTAGCATCTGAAAATAGAACCTGTGGTTTTCTCTTCCTATCTATGGGTGCAATGAACAAAACCTACATAAAGAAAGTAAAACAATGTCAGGAAGCAAGTGAAAATAGCAAGCTCCTTTACATTGCTTCTGAGTACATTTTTCAACAATTTTATAGCAATACATATGTTCATTGGAAAAACTTAAACCACTTGAACATGTCAGCATCACCCACTGAACCAACATTCAGCATACAATTGTAAAGTATTGCTAAACATACAGAAAATGGCAAAATACTTTCAGATAATTGAAATGTAATTTTATGAACATAGATAACAATTAAACAAGCATTGGATAAAGTACTTTCTGCTGGCATTTCTCTTCCCTTGGTCAACCATAACATGCATCAGAAATTGCTCTAAAAGGGTAGGGGTGCAAACATTCCCATATTGAATGTATTAAAATATGTCGAAGTATGGGGTTAAATAACTAGGGGTGTTTTGGTTATTCTGTATAAAGCTCTAAAACATGATATTGAAAGAAGGGCGAATGCTAGTTATGTTTTTTCCTCCCAGATCGTGTTGTTTTCTATTCCCTTCTCTTATTTCTTCCATTCTAATCTAATTTAGTGCACAAGTTGGTATCAGAGAAATAATTCTTGTGATAGAACAAGAATTGGAAGAAATTGATATCTTTCAATTGAGAAAATAGTACATATATATACAGCCTTGTAGATACTAAAAAGGAAGAAAATCATACAGCCTTGTAGATACTAAAAAGGAAGAAAATCATACAGCCTTGCAGATACTAAAAAGGAAGAAAATCATACAGCCTTGTAGATACTAAAATAGGAAGAAAATCAAAGAGAGAATAATTCCTATAATCAAGCTATTCCTAATTGGGCTAATACTA